TGTAACACACATTTATTAATATGATAACTAACCAGCGTATGCTAAGCTCAAACCCCATCCAGCAATGCCACCCACGTCATGACAAAGATTCTTCCCAGTCTGCCTTGGTTAAGGCTCCAGGGCTGGCAATAGCAACTCTGCTTTCACAAATTTGTCTTAAAATGGTGGTGTTAGTAACTGCTAGAATACAGGTTATTTCATGTTTTACTTCCCACTTAATACTCCCAATAATTCTCTGCTCCTGATATTTAAACAGTGTTACACCCTCATAGTTGGGTAAGCCTGTAAATTTTTGCAATGCTCTTAGTAAAGTATCCCGTCTCCATTCACGCTGGCAATGCAAACACTATGGAGATGAGAGCAAAGACTGATGAACCCAAAAAATTTGTTTACAACCTCCACACTCAATCTTTACCCATGCATGACACTTTTGATCTTTACACTGCAGACATGCCAAGTGTGCTACAGTTCCAGGATGTATAGTCCGTAAGGTGGCAACCAACTCCACTAGTTGGTCATAAGTTGTCCACCACAGCAGGTGATGAAGAAGCAGATGGTTCACTGTTTGCAGAAGTGGTCTCAGGGTGTGCTGGAGACGCTTCAGAGCTCGATCTCAATCTTGGTGCATCGCCATGATGTCCTGGAGCAGGTTTGGCCCACTTGCTGGGGACCCAGACGTTACCTGTATAGGTAGAAACACAAAGATACCCTCTCCCTACGAATATTACTTTTGCCGGACCTTCCCACAATCCAGTGGTGGGATTCTTATACCAAACCCACATTTCACAGAGGCGGTTTGATTCTGTTTTTTGTTGAAAGTGACACTGCACAGACGGGAATGTGTGATCTCCGAAAATACAGAGATGATTTAGTACAAATAGGGCTTTAGGTAATTTCTCCCGTGGGTCCTGAATCTCGGTGTACTTCTCAATATAGCGTTTTAGGGTACTATTTGCTCTTTCTACAACTGCTTGCCCCGTAGGGGAGTGTGGGATACCTGTAATATGTTTGACCTCCCACAGTCTCAAAAACTGGGCTACTGAGTTGCTACAATAGGCTGGTCCCTTATCTGTTTTTATTATTTGGGGTACTCCCATTACTGCAAAACAAACAGTAAGATGTCGCTTGACATCTCTTGCTTTTTCCCCTGCTTGGGTCGTAGCCCACAGCATGTGGCTGCAAGTGTCTATAGTTACATCAATGTACTTTAGGCGGCCAAAAGAGGGAATATGAGTAACATCCATTTGCCAGATTTCATTGGGGCCTGTTCCCTTGGGGTTGACACCTATTCCTAGGCCTATACCTTGATTGTGATAGTTGCGAGTGGGACAGGCTTTTACAATAGCTCTCTCTTCACTAAGGGGAATGTTAAAAGTTTTATGCAGCCCTTGTGCGTTCTGGTGAAAGGTATTGTGGCTTTCTCTGGCTCTTGAAAAGGCACGAGGTAAGCACTGTTGCGCTGCACTAACAAGTTGATCTGCTTTGCTGTTACCCTCTCCTAACCCTATAGGCCATTGACGGTTGCGAACATGCAATACAGCATACAGTGCAGTTCCTTGAAATATTGCACTTTGCATCTGCAAGAGAAGCAAAAACAGTCGTTGATTTTTTAATTCTTTGATCATGGCATTTTCTATGCAGTTAGCAACTCCAACTACATATAGGGAATCTGAAACGATGTTGACTGGCTCGTGTAGCCACTTTGTCAAGACCCAGACAACAGCCAACAGCTCAAGTGTCTGTAAACTGTCTTCAGGCTGAGCATCCAAAATATGATGGTACCACTGATTGGCAATTTTCCATGTTGCTACTGCTTTCCTGGAGCGCTTTCC